TTTAGAATGCTGGTCACTGAAAGACAAGAGAAATGGCCTCCTGCAATTCCCTGCACTTTTCACTTTATTTTCTTAGTCATATCAAAGTCTCTCACATCACAGGTGGAACTGATGCTATATTGATGTTAGAAAATAACAACTAAACAAAAAGGCTGTATGCAGATATCGATTATAACATGCTCTACTACCTCTAGAGGGTTTGGTTTTCTGACTTGTCCCCGTGGCTTATAGTTCTTATCCCAGATACTGAACATGTGTGGTTCCCTGGAAGATCGCTTCACATTGGATGTCCACTTGTCTGTCTTTGGTGAAGGCTGATACACAGAAGAATAACACACAAAGAGACTATATAATTACATTCTTGTAACTTATTGTCGGACATTTTCACCATAAAACTCTTGCATAGAATTGCGTTTTTCAGCAATAAATCATTCCAACACAAATTCACTTTTAAAAACAACATTAGCTGAAATTACTGCCATTCAATGACTCTGGCTTTAGAATCAGTCATCAACCTCTTGGCTGCCTATAGAATGAGAAAAAAATGTATTTATATTTCTAAAATTGTTCCCCACTTGTTGCATCTTAACTTATGAACAGTACAAATATGAAAGTGTTGGAGCGGTCAACACTTGTACAGACCAACAGCACATTAGTTACTAAATAGTAACGCACCACTGGCTTGTCTGGGTCGTAATCTCCTAACCGTTTCAGCGTATTGACGTCGAGATTCCCGAGAGCTAACTGCAGTGCAGCGACTTTGTCGATGAGCCTAGGGCAGACTCGTGGTCAAGAACAGTAACAGGCTTGTCAGAGAACTGTATTGTAGGATTCTTCTGCTAATTTTTTAAACGTAATGCAAAATTTCCTTGTATTCAGCAAGTGGTGTGCAATCTATGCAAAATGTAATTGCCACAGAAGCCTTCATTCTTATCCAGTAATAAAACGAGTATGAAATTTTAGTTTTCGCGGAAGTGAAATTGATCAACTAATTAGATGCTTGAGATTAAATATATTCAACATCTCTTCTTAGCAATCCATTTCAAAAAAGATACGGTCCAGCGAAGTCCAGATCGTCAGGATCAATGGTATCTGGATACGGCTCCAGGGGTACCACTCTCCTCGTTACTGGATCAAACACCAACTGATAGAGGAATGTCTTCTCAGCTTTTATAAAGTTGTTGATGTAGTCACTAGATATGTTGAGGCCCGGCATGTTCAGATAGCTCCCAACTTTGCTTAAAATCTATGGTGTGAGAAAAAACCAAGCTAAGCACTTAAAAAAAATGGGGTCAACTTAAAATGAAAATGCTAGATGGAAAACGTAAAACAATTGAGTATGATGCAAAAATAAACTGATATTCCTTGTTTCATAAGACATGTAATTGCATGAAAATATTTTACTGGTTTTACATAGATTACATGGCACAAGATCTTTTGTCGAGAATACTTTCAGTATTCATGCCAACCGGCATATGCCGGCAAATTATTTGGAGGGCCGGTAACATCGGCAAAACACAGGCCCTCCGAGCCGGTGGTTTCAGCCGTGTTAGCGAGTACCTACATTTTTATTTATAGCATTAATGAGCAAATAGCCTATATTAGTATTACTGTTTTACCTGAAGGATATCATGCCATAATTTATCAACATTTTACAAATTTGAAATCGAGAATGCAAGCGTGAAACATGGCATGGATTTTCAAACAAAATTTGTGAGGGTTGGTATTAAATTATGGTAAGGGCTGGTAAAAAATTGCTGTTACCAGCCCTCTGGGGCGGTGCAAAAAAATCTGAATTTCGTGGCCTGCTACTTCTAAGAGACGAAAGGATAACAGAGGCAACGAATCAATGCTCATTTTACAGATATCGGCCGGTAAAGACGTCAGACACTTGCCACACTCAGGTTCGTGTTTCGCGCCAGCTTGAAGAACTTCATGGCCTTTGAGAGACCGATTCCCGGCAGATTGTCGAGATAGTCGCAGCCAGACAGGATGCACATGCGACGAAACTTCTCGAACGTGAATTGGGCGGCCGACGAGCCGAGTGCCTCCCCTAGCCGCGCCTTCTCGTAGACAACACCGTTGCCATTCAGATCCATCTTAAATATGATCTGCAACATGCGTAAAGGAGATATGATCATAAAGGATATAACATGATCTGCAATATCCATGAACAAGATAATAATCGTAAAGAATGTATGAATTATGATCGTAAACGAGATATGATCGCACACACAAATTGGTGAGCAAACGATAAAGCATATTAATGTAAATCATGTTATGTCTTATTCACATACCAAGCAGCATCAACATAAAATGCATAATAAGCTAATGCATTAATATTTTCAGCATTCAATATTTATAAACATGTCTTCCCTAATCCAGTGTTAATAACTTTTAGAACTACAAGCACAAATCCCTAAAATATAACAAGAATAATTGAAGCGCCACACCTATACAAGTAGAGCCATACCAAAATTACCTGCTTTCTACGCAAGACGGTTACCCCTCACCCGCACTTACCCTATCACAGCCGAAAAGGACGAGATCAGAATCTTCTGTCATGACAAGCTGAGCGAAACCGCATTTGTTGAGGTACGAAAGCTGGGCATCTGCCTCATACGGGGCAACGATGCAGTCAACTCCCTTCTGTCTAGCAGCCTGCAATAATCACCAATCTATCACTGGCCGTGCATGCATCTATGAAGTTTTACAAAAGTCTGCAAAAAAGTAACTACATTCAAAATTCTGGTAAAAATTTACAAGCACAGACAGATGGTCATGAGTATTTGTAATACTAATACACACTACTTCAGTCACATACGATCAATATACATACAAGCATGACATCTAGCGCCATCTGTGAAGTAACGTCGATGCATTGCTGAAAGCAGTCGCGAGCTTCTTGAGGTTTACCTTCACGTAAGAACTGTTTACCTCTTCGTTTCATCAGCTGTCTCTTTCTACGGTAACGATAACACATTCTTAAAACAATTACTCCCATGTGTACAAGGAATTTTCCTCTCATTTAATTTCCCAATCAACTGAAATGACTAAATAGTATTTATAACTAGTATAACTATATATATATATATATATATATAGCTGAGCTTCATTTGGCCAGGTTTGGAATATTAACTAATATGTAAATGTACATTTGATTATTGGCATTCTGTACAAAATGTGTGGATGTGATACTTGCGATTAGGGAAAAAACGGTACAACTGTTTTAGTCATTAGAACCAATGGCAATCTCATCACTTACTCTCGTCTGCGCTTTTCTGTTCCAGCCTTGGATGGTAGCCGGCAACCATCAAACACTAGCACTGGCTTGATGCCAAAGGAGAGAAGCAGATTCACAAACTTCATGCAGTAATTCACATACCTAAAAGTAACAATTAAGCTCCAATACTCAAAAAGCTCAATGACATGTACAAGTGCATGTTTACAACAATTCGCAGTGGAAATTTTTTATTAGCATTAACACAGGTCTCAATGACTGTATCACAGTGTGTGTGGCAGTGCCTGAACACAAATCGAGGAATGCACGAACGATGATTAATTACACATACGGTACACACAGAACCAGTCTGAGTTTCCTTTGACCAATGCCCACACTGACAATTTTGTATATGGATTTGGTGTGGGTGTTACCTAGCTCTAGAACTACAGCCCTTTGCTCCACCACAGGGACAAATATATGTTGAAAATGGGCAACGAAACTGCTCCCACGAGGAACAGCTAACAGAACGCAAAATGATCGCGCTTTTTAACACTTATTTATGTACATGGACCTCTTACCTATCTTTTTGAAAACTTTTCACAACTTTACACCATGCATTTATTCATTTATTCCTCAAAGTCTTAGTACTACTTGCAAATTCCGTTCAAATTCTCGCGTACGTGGGTAACGTCATCCGAACTGTAGGCAAAAACACGGGGGCAGCCCATTACTCATGGGGATAAACTGGAATTTTTCTAAACATAAACATGTTGCCTGGCAACCTTGTATCAGCGTCAGTGCTATACCCACACCGCCATGAGTAATGGGCTGCCCCGCGTTTTTTTCTGTGATCTGTTTATCGTGGGAGCAGTGGGAGCAGTTTCATTGCCCATATTCAATAGTAATATAGTTTGTGCTGTAGCCCTGTGGCGGAGTTCTATAGTTCCCCTAGCTATAGTTCTACAGCTAGGTTTTACCAAGCCAAATCCACCATTTGGCATTGGCATTGCCATTGGCACCAAAAATCGTCGGTGTAGATGCGGCTAAACAGAGGAATTGCTCCGACCTGTGATTGGAAGATAAAAATAGAATTCGTGACGTTTCTCAAGTCTGTCAATATATATGACACACACATGTACAACTCGATTGATAACAATACCTAGTCTAAGGGGGTGAGGGAAGTAGCTATTGCGTATTCAACCTTCCCCTCCCCCTCTCTTTTCTTTTTCTCTTCTCCCCTCCCCCTTCCCATATGCCAGGCTTCCTGTGCCAAAATGTCACATCAGCTGATGTTTTTGAGCTAATCAGATGTTGGAGCAATTCCTCTGTTTAGTGTCATGTTGCCAGTCAGCGGCTAAACCGTAATCGTAAGAATTGCTCCGAATACAGCATGAACACTACTTGAACTAGAAACTCTTCGCAAAAGTTAGCAAATATTCGGAGAATCCTCTAAGAGTGTAAACGTTGTAATCGCTTGAAAATAAACTATCATTTAAGTACAGTCACTCAGTGACAGACTTTTTAAGAAACGTCACGAATTCTATTTTTATCTTCCAATCACAGCTGAGGAGAGCAATTCCTCTGTTTTAGCCGCATGTGTCGGTGTGGGCCTTGAATTTGATGTAACTCAGTCAGAGTCGGACTAGCAGAGAAGAAATTCTCAGATATGTTTCGCAAAGTTAGGACACTTACTGATCTGTAGGATCACCCCTCGCCAGCTGATCCGCACAGCCAAATGCACCCTTATGGAGTAAGCAGTACGTATCAACTGCAACCGTACACCCAGAAAACTCCTTCACATTTCCCTGATGGCAAGCCTTCTTCAAAAATGGCAAAAGACCCTTAATCCCCATCGCTAAGTAACGGGGTAAAACTAAAAACTTATAGAGACACAACTTAGCAAACCAGACAATAAGAAAAACGATAAAAAATGCCTTAAATTAAAAGAAAATTGGCTAGTTGTCGGTTTATCAATAAAACATTAAGACAAGATAATGTTTTTGTTGCTCCCGCCTTTTCAGTGCCACCTGGCGAACAACGTTGTACTAACCCTAACAAGAGAACACAAATGGTCACACATGGAAGTTTTCAGGCGTGAATCAAAATGATTCGACCAACGGGAATTTGATATTAGTTAGTAAGCTAATTTTATCATGCATTATAAATTTAGTGGATTTGCAATGTATTTGCAATCTGCGAGCGTTTTTATTGTGTTCCCCTTGTCTTGATCTGTGATCGGTAACCTTTCGACAGTGGCAATGGCAAATGCCAATGCCAATGCCAATGCCATGCCCATGGCAATCACAGGCACTTGAAGCGTTTCAACTGTAAACACACGCCGCCACCATTGCGCGCACACTGACACATAAATATAAAGATTATTAGATATATATATGTAACGCTATATATTTATGTGTCAGTGTGCGCGCAATGGCGGCGGCGTGTGTTTACAGTTGAAACGCTTAAAGTTAAAGTGCCTGTGGCTGTGATGGCAATCTGGTCCGAGCCGACGCAGACCCCGGCAGTAACGCAGACCCCAGGTTACCCGCACCCTCAGATTAGCAAAGCGCAGTTATAACGTCTGCATTTGCGGACAAATGGCAATGGGGCAATGTCAATGAATGATTATTAACAGTGAGTGCCGGTGTCACCTTAGCTCTAGTACTATAGCCCGCTTACATTAACTGCCGCTGGGCTATAGAACGACCCATGGGGCATGCGATGGACCAACTTATCCCCGATTATATCCGGCTATAAAACGTCTGTGGTAGGCAATTAATGCCTCTTATCCGAAGTGAATATGTCTTAAGTTATAGCCGCTACTAAAATTGAACCTCTAACTATCGTTGCAATAGTATACTTGCGGTTTTTTTTGTGAACAAACATTCGATTTGCGAACTTCAAACGGCCATTTCTGGCGGCGCTGCAGCAGCGCCAGTCAGCGGGAACTATGTATTTCCGCATGTGGAGGGGTGGGCGGGTCGGAGAGGTTGTGGAAAAAAACATTGTTGTTGTCAAGTAACAAATTAAGCGATCAAAAGAGATTGTAATATTAGTTTTGTCATGAAAGATGAACAATTTACTATTATTAATTTGTTACTTGACAACAACAATGTTTTTGTCCACAACCAACACAACCCGCCCACCCCTCCACATCGGAAATACATAGTTCCCGCTGACTGGCTGGAATAAGTTGGTCCCGAGCATTCGTAATGGTTGATGCTATAGCCCAGCGGCAGTTAATGTAAGCGGCTATAGTACTAGAGCTAGTGTCACCTCACCTGGCCAGCTCTACTACTACGTACTACTACGACTACTACTACTACTAGTAGTAGTAGTACTGAGTACTAGTCTACTGTACTGCTCAGGGCTCTGCCTGTGCAATTTCATACAGTTTTGAGTAATAATGTTACATGTGAGCATTATTTCGACTATAGAGTATAGTAATGTGAACGGCGCGTGAGCCGTACTAAACTCTAAAGTCTAAAGTAATGTTTACGCAAACCTTTTTCTAGAACGAGATCAAAACCCACCGCCAAGATGTTTTCAAGGCTTCCGCGGTACTTTGACTCGGTAGCGGAGAGAGCATATGACAATGACATGAAGGGAGTGAAACTGATAAGTCGCGAGGAGGCCAGAGCGATGCAACGGAAGTTCATACATACCTGGAGACCGGAGGAAGACACGCGTCCCTTCCGCTACGGCACACCGATCCTAGCGGTCCTGTCGTCGCTCGGTGGCATACTACTTCAGGCTCACTACCGGAAAGCCTTCCTGCTGGGAAGCCACGGCCTAATATCGACCTACCTGCCTGCGGCCGCTCTCCCGGGGATAACGACTGGCTTGTTTCAGTATCAGTTTGTGACGATGGACATCCTGACCGGCGCGACGCCGTGCCCCACGTGCGTCGAGATCCGATCGGCAACCTACCAGCTGATCCTCGGCATCATCTATCCGATGGTTCTGACTCCTGTGGCGGCGGCGTTTGTTGCCGGAAAGTACTATACCTATCCAATACCAGAAATGCGGCAGTACAAATCGGTTATCGACCTGTGGAGGCAGACGACGTTTCCTCTGAGCCGCCCCCTCGCGTTGATGGCAGGAATTCAGATTGCGGCTGCGTTAATGACAACCTATAAGCAGGGCAAAGCCATGGATATAATTCAAGAGAAGATATTGAAGATGGAGAGGGAAGAGGGGGAACCTCAGCCGTTTGTAAACTTGCAAATTGATTTGTGATCAAATTTGCAGTGTGATGGCCACTTTAAGTGGTGCTTAGGTATTGGAGCTCTGTTACGTACTGTAGTATACCACACACTGTGTGGTGTGCCCACAGCTCATAGCAGAATCAGATTGTAGTAAAGGGATTAGCATCTTCACACTATTTATAAAAGTGTCATTACCATGCCAAAATGTCAATATGTGTCAGGATACGAATGAAGTCATCTTCATAATATCATTCAAGGAATTTGATTCTAGTTGTGTATTACTATTAGGAGTATTAACAACTGTAGTAATTCCCTGAGCCGAAAGCGCACATTCTGTTTAGAGTTGTCATTCATTATAGGTAATAAGTTTTTCTCATGTACTCTGGTAGTATTTGCTGAGTAATGTAGGAGGAAAAGCTAACATCCTAATGTTACATTGTAATTGTTCAAATGTGTAATGTTAATTCAATAAAATAACCAGTGTTAACAACTAATTTCTTGTTAAAAACATTACTGGTTACGAAATACTAACAATGTTTCTAGCTTAATGCAGTTCTTCTATTATATATCTGTGTTGTAAATGTTTTTGCATTTCATACCCTCACGAGCCATCTTATTTATCCACACAGTATTAGAGTATTGCGCAATTGCTAAGTGTAGTATAGACCGGGAGCCCAGGGGGGTCACTGGAAAGGAAACCAATTTTCATGCATATAGCATTGATTCGTGTACATACCCATGTAAGGAAATGTAAGTCTGGCGGGCAGCCGCTGGTGGGTGTGGTCAGTGGGGTCATTTGAAAGGCACACCAAAATTGAGCTAGATTAGCTGGAGAGGAAACCCCATGAAACATGGAAAATGTTCGGCATGGTCCCAGGTAT